CCGCGCCCTTGGTGCGCAGCAGGCTGCCTGGTGCCAGGTGCCCATTGATGCTAACGCCCGCGGGCTGGGAGGTGCCCGCAGACGGGGGCTGTGATGCCGCAGGTGGTACTAGCCAGGTTGCTGCTTTGCTAAGTGGATTGTTCTGTAGCTTGTTAACTCTCCACCCTCCTGTCCGGTCCCCAGGGCGTCCTGCTGAGCTGGACCAAAGGATTCAGCGCCTCAGGCTGCGTGGGGCAGGACGTGGTGAAGCTGCTCCGGGAGGCTCTGAAGCGCAGAAATGTACGACACGGGGCCTGGGCAGGCAGCCCTTGAGACGGGGTGGGGGGCGGTGCAGGGCGTTGTACTGGGCCAGTGGGCAGGGGTGGGGTGAGGCATCAGGCTCCCGGGTGGGGGTGTTGTGCCCGGCCAGGCATCGCGCCAGGAGCACCGGGCAGGGGGTTAGGTTGCCGGGGGCTCAGGGCTGTGTGATGCTCGGTCTCAGCCCGACGGTGCCCCGGTGATGCCCAGGCACAGGATGCTGGCGTGTCTGGGGAGCAGGTGGGCGCCCGGCCGGGCTGAGGCTGGCAGCTCCCTCCGGGAAGACGCAGAGGGAGGGGCCGTTTCCCAGGAGACGGGGAGGGCAGTGTGCCAGTGCTGTTGCTCTGGTGACGGGGAATTGTGTTGCCTAGTAACGGGTCTCATTCTTTCTAGCACTTTGCGCTGGATGTGGTTGCCATAGTGAACGACACCGTGGGAACCATGATGTCGTGTGGCTACGACGACCTCAACTGTGAGGTCGGCCTCATTGTGGGTAAGTGGCAGCCCCCCCCAGTGCCCAGCGGGCAGGCGCACCCCCCCAACCCCAGGGCAAGGCACTGCCCGGCCTGGGGGGTGCAGGAGCCAGGACAGTGTTCAACCTCCCCCGCCTGGCCCCCACCCCTGTAGCACATGGCCTGTGCCCCCCCACCCTCCCGCAGTGCTGGCCCCTGGACATTGCCCCACTCCAGGGGCTAGTGCAGCAGGGGAGAGGACGCTGCCCCAGCTGCCCCAGCCTGGCCGGGAAGGGGCCTGTGCTGACGCCCCCTCCCTCCCGCCCAGGCACGGGCACCAACGCCTGCTACATGGAGGAGCTGCGGAACGTGGGCACCCTGGCGGGGGAGGAGGGGCGGATGTGCATCAACATGGAGTGGGGGGCGTTCGGCGACAACGGCTGCCTGGACGCGTTCTTCACCCCCTTCGACAGACAGGTGGACGAGGCCTCGCTGAACCCCGGCAGGCAGAGGTGGGCAGGGCCAGGGCCACACCGGGGCTGGGCCGGGCGGCAGCGGTGGGGCACTGGGGGCAGAGGGACTAAGCAGGGGCTGCGCTGGGGCTGTACTGGGGTGGGGGGAGCAATGGCCACACCATGCCGGGCAGGGGGGCCATATCGGGCCTGGGCAGAGGCCGCACAAGGGCAGGCCTGGCCAGGGGGCTGTACCGGGGTGGGGAAGGGGCTGGCCAGGGGCCGTCCTGGGGCGGGGCAGGGCAGGGCCGGCCAGGGGCTGTACCGGGGCAGGTGGCTGTCCTGGGGGCAGGGTAGGGCTGGGCAGGGGTCTGTACTGGGGTGCAGAAGGGGCTGGCCAGGGGCCGTCCTGGGGCAGGGCTGTACCGGGGCAGGGCTGGCCAGGGCCCCTGCAGCTGTGCTGACGGCCGGTCGGTCTCTCCTGCCGGGGCAGGTTCGAGAAGCTCATCAGTGGCATGTATCTGGGCGAGATCGTCCGGCGCATCCTGCTGGAGCTCACGGCCAAGGGGATCCTGTTCCGAGGCCGCCCGTCCCCCAAGCTCCAGACCCCGGACATCTTCCAGACCAAGTTCCTGTCGTCCATCGAGAGGTGAGCGCGGGGCGGGCGCAGGAGGGTGAAGGGGACAGGCGCTGTCGGTGCCCATGGCTCCTGCGGGGGGGCGGGGAGCGAGGGCCTGGAGCCGCACTGACGGTGTCCCGGTGTCCCCACAGCGACGGCCTGGCCCTGCGCCAGGTGTGCGCCATCCTGGAGGAGCTGGGGCTGCACGTCACCAGCGAGGACAGTGTGCTGGTACGGGAGGTGTGCCAGGTGGTGGCCCGGCGCGCGGCCCAGCTCTGCGGGGCAGCCGTGGCTGCTGTGGTGGAGAAGATCCGGGAGAACCGGGGCCTGGAGCAGCTCGTGGTGACGGTGGGCGTGGACGGGACGCTCTACAAGCTGCACCCACAGTGAGTGGGGGCGGGAGGGGCGGCTGGGCCCTGCTGGCACATGGGGGAGGGACTCGCCCCCCCCCCCCCGGCTGTGCCAGCAGATGGGGGCAGAGGAGCTGCTTGCCCCTGCATGGGGGAAGGGCCCGTGCTGGCGGGTGGGACAGGGATGAGTTGCAGCAGGTGCGGCCGAGGGCAGGGACACGGGGCTTGCTTGTGGGTGAGCAAAGGAGAGCTGCAATGGCTGGCTGCAGCGCCCGGCAGGGAGTGAAGGGGGCAGGCTGCAGCGCCCGGCAGGGAGTGAAGGGGGCAGGTTGCA